TTTTATCATTTTAGTCGCTCTCCTCTGGACACATTCCAGCTTGTCAATATCTCTCTTGAATTGTGGTGCACAATATTCCAGATGTGGTCTAACCAAAACAGAATAGAGGGGCAGCATGACTTCCCTAGATCTAGACACTGTGCTCCTATTGATGCAGGCCAAAATCCCATTGGCTTTTTTTGCCGCCACATCACATTGTTGGCTCATGTTTAACTTGTTGTCCACGAGGACTCCAATTGGCGGAGGGGGGGGGGGAGAAGTCATAGAATCATAGAATCAAAGAGTTGGAAGAGACCTCATGGGCCATCCAGTCCAACCCCCTGCCAAGAAGCAGGAATATTGCATTCAAATCACCCCTGACAAATGGCCATCCAGCCTCTGCTTAAAAGCTTCCAAAGAAGGAGCCTCCACCATACTCTGGGGCAGAGAGTTCCACTGCTGAACGGCTCTCACAGTCAGGAAGTTCTTCCTAATGTTCAGATGGTCGTTTACAACCTGCCCCAAACCTCACCCTTTCGTCGCTGAAAGAAAAGAAAAGCCATCCTCGATGAATAACCAACACCAACAACACCATCACATTGAAATGCTGAACCCTTTCCTTGCATTCTGTCCTGGAGAAACACGCAGGCGCATCTCCACGTTACCTGGTTCCTTCCTAGGAGCAGAATACCATCCCCAAGAGCCATAAGAAGATGAACAACAACCCATCCCCAAACCCAACGCGATGCACTAACCTGCGAAAGGGATGGTGATGAGGGAGTGAAGGAAAACGAGCCCAAGTGGAAACAGCTGGATGGTCCACATGATATTCAATGAGGATAGTTTCCAAAAAAAAGCAGTATCCAAGGTGGTCAAAGGAAGAGATGCCACAGAGGAGGCAAGAGCGCGCCGAGCTGCCTTTTATTGCCGTGAGCCAAGTTTGGTCGTGTGTTTAACTGGAAAGCGCTGGGTCCCAACTCCCTCTTACGGTAAGAAAGTGGCTTAACAACAGCAACACTCCCCCCCCCCCC